TATTTAAAAATAATAGCTAAATACCCGTTTTTCGTACGGGATATTAAAAAAGGAAATAATCAATAATTCAGTATTGATGAACATACGAAATAATGCAAAAAACTGAAAAAGAAATATCGGATAAAATTGAAATAGTTCCATTTTTTTTAAAATAATTATTTGTTGCACTTCACGGGTGTTTTGTAATATTGAACCCAGTTCAGAAGACAAGGAAACTTCTGGATTATGTATTGGGGGAAATTTTGCTTTCATGGAGAACTTTTTGATGGAACTAACCCGCATTTGCATTACATGGAGCAAATCCCTCCATCAGTTAGTCTGACGGCAAGGGGACTCTAACCCAGGACCCGTCTACCCCTGAGGATGTTTCACGTTAGCACTGTGGTCTGTGCAATTCGGGTGCGGAATTCGTATCAATCAGCCATCGCTGGGATTCGAACCCGGTTCAGCTCATCGGGAGGCGAATGCTCTATCCCCTCAGCCACCACGGACCAGACATAAGTATTAAAATACATCATTGTTTAAAAAAAAGTTGAAAGTCAAAAAAGTTGGGTTATAAAGCGTAGTTTCGTCATGCGCCAAAGATGTCTAAGTAATAAATATTTCAATACCTTGACAGTGATCATAAGGAAAGATATATGGAAAATTACAAAGCTGGAAAAGCCTCGCATATTTCACCAAAACTAGGATAAGTAAATAAAAAGCTTATTAAATAATAAATAAAAGCCCTTGACATATTATTAAACAAACTCTAAACTGTGCGGAATTATTAATTTCTTGATATGGAAATGATCTTTGATTGCACTGTAAACAACAACTAGCAACTGAATGTTGACAGAGATGCCAACTGCTACGGACTCGCCAACATAATTAAAAAAAAAAAAATGCTTAATAACTACAAACTAAATTCTTCAAATATTTGACTATTTTTGCTTGCTTTTTAAAAGGTATAGCATGACATAACTACTAAAAAGTGGTGAATTATATAAGGCAGTGAATTATTTAGAAATAGTGGTGGATAAAAATCTACTAAATTGAATTTATTAAACCAAGAATCACAATTGATAAACTACCACTATAAAATATTTTTTTGCTGTCCGGAGCAAGTTGGCATCTCTGTGTTGAAGACGTCTGAGACACGTCAATTATTGTTTCGACATAAGAAACAAATGTCGTCTCCCAGACGTCTTCGTATGTCAATGGGGTTAACTGTAGATAATTTCTGTTTATAAATTGGAATTACTCAAACAAAGAAGATGAAAGCTTGTTTGTTTTCATTTCATGTGATTCTAAGAATCAATGAACTTCACTTTCAAATAGTTTATCTGGTGTCTAATTGGGTGAAACGAGACGGGACGCTCAAGATAGTTATAGGTTGAATGACATGGGTGCGTAGAATTATGATTTTTGTAACTCATTCTAAGATCTTTCTAGGAAATACCCAAGATGTTACTCGCCAATCAGGCTGGTTTTCTTCTACAGATAGTTCTTCAGCTTAATAATAAATAAAATTTATGTTGTTAATTTTGAATTAGCTTTATTAGGTTATAGATATAAAAACTACATTTTTTTACAGATAATTTTTAGTTCAAAAAATAATAAATAATATTTATTTTGTTAATTTTGAATTAGTTCTTAAGATAATAATTATCCTAAACTACATTAAATACAAATAAAAAATTACATGAAAACAAAAATTGCGAAAAAGTACCTTCAAACCAAAAATATTTCTCATTGCAATTTAGCAGATCAATGCGCATATTGTGCAAATTAAATTCGCATAATTATCAGGAAATCTTGGTAAAAAAAGGTAAATTGTTATAGTTGTAGTTGTTGTAGTTAATTTACGTCGCACTAGAGCTGCACAATGGGCTATTGGCGACCGTCTGGGAAACATCCCTTGAGGATGATCCGAAGACATGCCATCAGAATTTTGATCCTTTGCAGAGGGGATGGCACCCCCGTTTCGGTAGCTCGACGACCTGCATGCGAAGTCGAGCACTTTACGGTAGAACAGTTTAACGAGGAACAATACAGCACACCCTCGGTCCCTACGCAGACTAATCCAAGTGGTCACCCACCCGCACACTGACCGCAGCCAGTGATGCTTGACTTCGGTGATCTGTTGGGAACCGTGTCTTAACGATCAATCCACTGCGGGACAAAAAAGGTAAATTTTTAAATCAAATATTTATACACTTTCTTTTACTTAAAAGTTCTTTAGCTAACTGTAATTCGAGTCAGTTTTGTACAGACAGAAATAATGCGATTTGAAAGTTTTTGGCACAATCTTCGAAAATGTACCAGCAGTTTTGGCATACAAAGTTTTTCCAGGATAATGGGATGCCTGCAAGTGCCGTAGTGTGGCTATCTCGATCCTGTGAAACGGGGCATTTGTTTACGTTAGCAACTGTTCTTTCTATTCTATTTCGAGTAAGCCAAGCCCGTCAAGTATCAATTCTCTCAAGTGACACATTCTAAATTCTTTCTCAAAGATTTAATTTCTTTCACCATATATTTACACATAGGCTTAACACAAAGACCGGCACGAAGCCATGTCGAACAAAAGCAAACTGGTTATGCATCGAAACTGCCAGGTACACAAAATAAAAATATATCACTGTTACAATGAAATACACAAACAAATAATAAATCTAAGTTAAGTAAAAGAAGTAGGCGAGAAAGAATTATATTTTAACTAATTCGATGTGCGATACGGCTATGTATTTTATTAACTTACCCTTAATTAACGTTTCAACTTATGAAGAGAAATTTAGCTGAACTTTAACTGCGCCATTTTGCTGATAAAGATAAGCTGGCACTGACGTCATAGGTCACATGTGTGGGTATGGGAGGTCTTCTTCTTGAAGTGCAAGTATGCAACTGTATTGAAAGAAAATAGCGCCTTTTTTTAAAAAACTAATGTTATTCACATTATTTTATCCATTTTCTGTAAACTGCTACATTGTAAACACGTGACGTTAGGCCCCGTTTGTTTGTTTTTTCTCAAGAAATACAAATATCTGTAAGGTTTCGTTTTCCCCATAATGTAAAATATTTCTTAGGAACAATATTTGATGATTTTGAGAATCAATAGCTTGTGGGCGAATAGGTGTCAATGGCATCCAATGAAAGTGAAGCTAGAAAACTAAACGTTTTAACGATTATAAAGCCTAATTGAAGCTTATTGTAAAAAGTTTATTCCTCCAAGTATTGCTCAATCTTAGCATCCGACTTTTTCTGTTTTGAAATTTAGGCATATGTTTTTTTTTTTTTTAACCTTCTGTTGACAGATATATTACAAAACCTTTATCTCCGTAATATCTATTGAGGAAATTAGTTTCAGCATCCTTTAATACACAGTTCTAATGCACGAGTTTCTTTGGAATGTTTATTCGGAGCACAGTTCCAAGCTTTGGATAGTAACTAAGAAATAGTGACGTGTAAATTTTAAAGAATGTGGTTATTTAGAATTCAATCAAAACTGGTTTCTATGATTGAAATTTACTGAACTAGTATAGAAATTAATCGAAAAATAAAACGATATAATTTAGTTGCATTTTGAGAATAGAAATTGTCCTTCAGCGGTTGAATGGTCGGGTTAAAATTCAGAAATCCTTTAAATTACTGGACATCTTGTTAAGATCTTCGGTTCCGGAAATGAATACCCGTTCCTTTAATGTAAGTAAAACTTCACTTAAAAACTCATATGTGCAAACCTCAATGTAAACAGATATATATTCGGAACAGAGATATTCGGAAAATGTAACATATCTAATTTTGATTTATGTAAGCATCAACATATCTAATATTGATTTATGTAAGTATAAACATAAACATTTAAAATGTGTTTAGTTAGTAAAATTAAATGTTAACTAATTTTTTTCATTAGTCTATTCTGTACTCACTCATAAAATTTTTCATAAAATTTTTACGATAATATTTTTTTTGCATATTTAAACGTTTGCATTGGAATATATTTACTTATCCATTTAAACTCGAACAGTTAATCGAATGCTTAATTAATTAAATTGAGATTAAATTCTGTATTTTGATTAAAGGTTTATATTTCCTTAAATTATAATAATGTTAAAAACATCATCATTTTTAAACATTTGAAATATTTTAATGTCGGAAGTCATGATATCTAAGTAGTTGCATGATTTTTAAAACTACATACATTTACTTACAATATAAAAATTAAGTAAGTCGTTATTAAAATGTTTATATATTTAAACAAAATTTCAGTTAATAAAAATTAAACAAATCTCTGATTGTTTACATGTTTCAATTGTTTAACGTTAGCATTTATTTATAATATGAAATTATTCCTTACTTAACAAAAAGTTTTTTTTAAAGTCAATGCATAGATATACTATACCTTTTAAATTTGAATTTTCATGAAAATATTTAATTTATAAACTTGAATACCAAAACAGAAATTTAATATTTTTTTCCATTAAAGCGTAATACTTGAAAGAATTTCATCAATTGTTAATCCATCATCATTTTAATCGATATTTTTAAATTTTTGGCTTTTATTTGCTTTATTTATGATGCTGTTGAAATCTGATTTATCTTTTCAGAAATTTGAAATATTTAAACATCGATAGTCATAGTTTAAATTTTTTGTTTTATCTTTTGTTATAAAGCTAATAAATTGATTATAAACATGCAGAGAACATAAATCAATTTGTCTGTGATATGTTAAATGTTATAATTACGTAACAATATTTTATTCGTATTTATTTTCGGCTGCGATAAAAATGTAACTGAAATTTTTTTTTACTATGATTATGAAAGCTAAACACTTTACTACTTATACTTCAACATCCTTAACCTCTGCGGTATTTGTCTCACAAAGCGGATTCACTTCGAAACTTTGGTGTCCCACTTTAGCTAGTTATAATAAGACAAAATTTTTTTTTATTAGCTTCATAAAAGTTTATAAATTTCCTTTTAACGGCCAACTGAAAGCGTCAAGGATGCAAAAGTTACGACTGTAATAAAAGAAAAAAAGGTGTGTAACAAACCTTACTATAAATGTCTTTCAGAAACATTTTGTGCACTTTATTATTCACTCACTACAAATACGTTTATCCTAAGTTATTTTTGAAACAGTTTTTGATATTTCAGGTGAAAAACAAAAGTTGGTGATTTTTAGTGTTTCTAAAAAATCAAGATGGTGGTCGAAAAAATCCACTCAACATTCGAAACGGTCCGTACAGGACAAGTCTTTTCAAAACCTCGTATTTACAAGAACCTAATAATAGTGTGCATCGGATATCTTTTTATGTTCAGTGCCTACCAAGGACTTGCCAATCTCCAAAGCACCCTCAACATCGAAGGTAACATAGGAGTCATTTCCCAAAGTGTCATCTATGTATCCATGATAATATCTTCTCTGTTTCTGCCAAAACTCATTATCAGAAAGTATGGCTGCAAAGCCACATTGGTAATGAGTGCTTTATTATACGCTCCCTACATTGCTGTTAATTTCTATCCTGGTATGGGGACATTTTTGCCAGCGGCATTTATTTTAGGTCTTGCCGCGCCAGCTCTTTGGTCAGCGAAATGCACGTACCTAAATGAAATCAGTGCTTTATATGCCAGTCAAGATTCTGACTCGGCCGACGTGGTAACGAATCGCTTTTTCGGAATTTTCTTCATGGTATTCCAAACAACGCAGATATGGGGAAACTTAGTGTCTTTTTATGTCTTGAGACCCTCGGAAGGCGATGAAGATGGACTAGCCGGAACCATTCCAACTTTAAACGAAACTGTCACATGCGGAGCTGATTTTTGCTTCGGTGTCAGCGAGAATATGAAAGCTCCCAGTGATGAGAAAAAGCATATCCTGATAGGCATCTACTTGTTCTGCATTGTTTTGGCAGCTCTCATAATGGGACTGTTTTTAGACTCTTATGATAAGAAGAAAGCAGATGACACGGAGAGTTTGGAATCGAGGATTTTAGCTACTTTGAAGCACATGAAGAAAACAAAACAGTTACTCCTGGTTCCCCTGACTGTTTTCAGTGGTCTCGAACAAGGTTTTATTCTTGGAGATTTTACAAAGGTACGTTTATTTTAATGATTAGTTATAGTAATTAAGAACTTGATTATTGTAGTCAGTAATTAAACATCTACTGCGCATGCTTCAACCACCTGAACCTACTCATATTGGTCCAACGGACATGGGTATTTTTTATGGTTACAACACAAGATGGTCAACAATGCAAAGTGTTTTTGTAGAAGAACATAAAAACACTCATTTATTTAGATAACACTGAGTAGCAATTTTTTTTGTTTTCCGTTGCCTGAGGTTTTTTGCAGGTTTTAGATACTATAGTATTTCAAATCTGCAATAGAATTCTCTCGCCAAGCTGAAGCTTTTCCAAAATAACGTTTCTAATCTATGTTTTGTCGAAATGTGCAAGTTTAAAAACGCTGCGTATGACAGGGGATTGAATAAATGTTGCGACAAATTTTTGGGGCACTTAGAGCACATCATCAGAATTGAAATTACGTAACCTGTGGCCGGAAATGTCGTCATATGCTACTAAGGCCTCTTTTCTATTATGAAAGATTTCTTTGTGCTCTTCTAAGCAGGTCATACATAACTGGGAAGTGCCCCTAGCGGCGTATTATTATAATTCCTAGAATGGGTTCATATGGAATTTTAATCCTGATGATGCGCCCTAAATTCTCTAGAAGTTTGTCACAACATTTATGTGACCTCCTGTTATGTATAATGTTTTTAATCTTGTACATTTCGACAAAATGTAGACTAATAATGTCATAAAATATTTGTAGCTTTTGGAGCAATGCTAATTTTAAATTTAAAATCCCCACATCCGGATCAGGCAAGATCAAATGTTAGTATAAATGCAACAAAAAGTTTTTTCTCTTTATGTAGTTTATTCACTAAAAAAAATGAAGCTTTTAACGATGCAATATCCTGAAAATTTTCTGCAACATTAAAAAAATCTTGAAGTGAAAAATATTTTAGTTTAACTTGTACCTATTGAGTAAGAAGGTATATTTTGCATGATAATATGGTTAAACTTTATGTTTTAGGTTGCAGCAAATATATACAATATTGTGGTTCAATTCGCATCAGAATTTCTAACAGTAATTTATTCATCTAAGACTATTAATAAGGGATTTATATCGAACAAATTCTATAGTAAAGAGCTTCTTGATGTGTATTATAAAGTATATTTTTTACCAATTAATTGATTTGCTACTACTATGTTATTTCGTTATAATTCTTTCTAGATAGAATGTTAACGAAATAGTTAGATTATGATAATAGATATATCATAATCTAACTATTCTAGATACATCTATCATTTTTTGGTAGTTAAAGATTTCGTTAAGTTTGCTGAATTTAGTTAATTAATATTTCATAAATTATTCCATTACTCAAAATTTAAATTGTTAACGAACTCGAAAAAGAACAAATGAGGCCAAGGACTTCTTTGGTCTTTTATGTCACTTTCAATTTTGCATCGTTAATGTTACTAGAAATTATAAGAAAAGATATAGCTACAACATATAAAAAAATTTAATTAGTGAAAAACTATAATTTTAGATTTTTATAATTATCGTCATAATTTAGTAAACAATTAACTGATTAGTAACCTTCATATTTTCAAGAACTTATAAACATTTGTTTTTACTAATTTTTAACAGGAAAAGTGTATCAATACAGTTTATTTAAAAAAAAAATTATATAAAAAGCACGATATTTTTTTGAGAAAATTAATTTCTGAGAAAATGACTTTTGTGAAAACAATTTTTTTAAGCATGAAATTTTTGCAAAAGGAAAAAGATTTTGTGAAAGACGACATTATGGAATTATCATCTAATTATCGATTTTAAAATCTTGTTGTTAAATAAAATGAGGCACATTAAAAGATTTAAAGAGGCAAAAATATGTCACATAGTATAAATAAGTTACATAGCATAAATATATTGTAGCAGTCAGATATCTAACTACAAGTTTCTTAAAATTTAAAAAGTCACTTTTTCGTACGGAAAATATGAACGTTATTCATATTTATTTATTTTTCATCATATCCATTTCGAAACGATAAACTTAAGATTGCAAAGGTTGTTGAAAAAGTGAAAACAAGATGTAAGTGTTGCTTAATGCTTGAGATTTTTAATTTCACAACTATTATTTAAGCATCAGTCTTAATTTAAGGCAATCTATGTTGTGTAACCATCGATAGCCAAAACAATCTGGATTGATTTTTTGGGGTACATTTTTAAGTGACGAAATGTGTGTAAGTCTTATCTTTTACCAATTATATCTTTGTGACATTAAGTTAAACAGGAAACCACTGTTTATTTTGCTACATAAGTCTTTTAGGTTTATTTAAATAGAAGGACATTTTTAAAGTTTTCATCAATTAACTTTTTAATAATTTTAAATAACTTAGGTTTCAACCATAATACCGCGCGAATATTTGGCAAACCTAATGAGTTGTTAAAATAAAATATGTTTGAGTTATAGACATTAATCAAGTTTAAGAAATGCGATTATATGGTTCAATTGCTTCAGATTAAAACTTGAACAAATTTGAACGACATTACACTCGTTTTTGACGATTCAGCAATTCTCGAGCTGTGTTTCGTAAATTTTTGAGAATCATTTCTGCGAGAAATCACGTGATTTGTAACAAAACGCGAATTCTCAAGTATATGACGAAAATGTTTCCTAAACTAGAAACCTCATCGTAATGCATTGTGGGAGATTGTTAATTAAAATTAAGACCAGACGATCGAAAAATAAAGTGACGAAACAAACCGACCGGTTGCGTGATTGTCAAGAAGTTGGCTTTGTGCCAGGCAGATCCCGGAGCATGCGTGTAATTCATCCGTCTGTTCTATCTATTTGTCCTTTCTGCGTTGTTTCGACAATATTGATACATCTGCAAATGCCACATGATTATTAGAAAAGTTAGATACATTGGGCGCTACGAGTTTCTTTTTCTATGCGAAAAAAACAAAACGAAACAGAGTGATGAAATATTTCTTGAACTTTGACGAAATTCGTTTTCTCGAAGAAATGACGCTAGCTATTTCGTCACTTAGACGAAATTTTTGCTCGCAGCATATACCAGGAAACGGTTTCGTCAAAAACAAAGAAAGTTTCGCTAAAATTTGAGCATCCATTTTTTACAGTGCACTGCTTAACCTGCTCCAAAAATTCCAGTCAAGACATATCTCATAAATTGGAATATAAAAATACAATTTTTATAACCATTTATTAGCTTCATGGGTTCATTCGCAGCTTCACTGAAGACTTGCTACTCAAGTTTATACGAATCAATGGGTTACAAAATAATATTTCGAAAATTTTACTGGATACCTTCGAAATATGTACATTTCTCAATCGTAAAGATAATTCCATTCGCATCATCGATTGAAGTTCAAAAAGTAAACAAAAAATTATCCCTTTATTGCCAATGAGCGTTAATTTAATTAATTTCTATGCAGATTCATTTATGTTTGATGGTAACTTTTTCAAATCTACAGGCTTACGTTGCATGTGCTTGGGGAATTTACTACGTAGGACTTGTGTTTATATTCTTTGGTGCAGTGAACTCTGTGGTGTCATTTACCTCTGGTCGCCTTGCCAAATATATTCCTCGAGTGACAATTTTCATCTCTGGAGCGATTGGAAATTTAGCAGTCTGCTTAACACTTTTGCTATGGAAACCCAATAGTGAACAATACGTAGTGTTTTTCGTCTTAGCTGGTGTCTGGGGTTTGAGTGATGGAATTTGGCAGACCATGATTAATTGTAAGTATTGTAAGAAACATAATTAACTATGCATGCAGTTGCATAAAGTACTTTTTCTTTATATGCGAGTTCTCGGAAACGGAACTAGTTGGAGCGGGCTTCAAATCGTTCAAGCTGTTATTACAGTTTCCAGTCTAAAAAATACACTCAGTTTAAATTTGAGGGAAGTGGAGATATTCAGTCCTTCTCTTTCTATCTATTTATTTATTTCGGAAATAAATGGTTTTGTGTTTAATAAAGTTTTACACCACAATTAAAAGCAAAGTTTCAATCGTGGTGAAAAATATTTTCTAACACTGTGCTATTGGCGATCGAAATGGGCTACAGGTGGTGCATAGCAGAACTCTTTTCCTGTGGCATGACTAGGCATGCTTTCACCATTAGCGAGCGGATATGTGGATCAAACCAATTAAAAGATATTTAGACGCGATGGATCAGGGGATAGAGCGTTCGCTTTCCAATGAGGCGAATCGGGTTCGAATCCCAGTCGATACGAATACGCATCCGGCTTACACCGACCACAGTGCTAACGTGAAATAGCCTCAGTGGTAGACGGATCATTGGTTAGAGTCCCCTTGCCGTCAGGCTAACCGTGCGAGGTTCTCGTGGTCTTCTTCTCCATGTAACGCAAATGCGGGTTAGCTTCATCAAGAAGTCCTCCACGAAGGCAAATTTCTCCCAATACTCGATCCAGGAGTTCCCTTGTCTTCTGGATTGGGTTCAAAATTACAAGGCTACGGAG